GGCTGAGTCCTGAGGGAGGTAGACAAGTTCTCCCAAGAAAACAAGAGGAAGTGTCTTTTCTGGAACAGATCCTCGTAGGGGTTCAGAAAAACCATCGTGCAGAAAGACCGCGCCCAGCCCACGCCGGTCTCCTCCACGGCTGTGTGTGACTGAATGAGAGCGCCAGCCAGCTATGGTTGGCTCTTCACACAGCAGGTGTCCCGGTCGGCAGCTCACCCTCAGCACACCCAGGACATGGAGGGGAGCTTGTGGTCCAAGTGACAGTGGGGACAGCTGGGGGGGAGGGGCCTGGGGGAGAGCAGGCTCACCTGCCAGGGCGGGGCCAGCCCTGGTGCTTGGGCAGACCCCCCCCCCATACACAGGTGATGCCCCAGTGCATCCAAGATGAGAGACGCGTTCTCCAAAGCTTCCTAGGACACAAAGAGGGCCGGGACTCACACTCACTTCATAAGTGTGGAAACTGAGCAGACCCAGGGAGGTGCAGCCCCTCTCCCTCCCCCCCCAACACACAGAGGTCACGCAGAAATGAAGCCTAGAACTGGGATCTGAACTCAGGCCTTGGGTTGTTGGGATGAGCACCCTAGGAATGGAATCACCAGGTCTGGATGAAACCCTAGCCCTTCAGGGAGCAGCCGCACACATGAACACATGTACCACACACACACACACACACACACACACACACACACACACACACTGGAAGAGTTCGGGGCTCCGCCCACCACCTCCTCGGCCTGTGTCCCCAGGGCACAGCTACTGCCCTGTCCTCTGGTGTCCAGCCAGCCCCCACTGGGACTGGGGCCTGGTGCCCGGCATGGTCGGGATGCCCGTGTGCGGTAGGCGCTCAGGGCATCTCTGCCGGCCACGGGCTCTGTGCTGCAGCCCCGGGCAGTGCCCGTCTGCTCAGCGCTCAGAAGCCCTCACTCTCCCTGGCAGCAGCCTGGGACTGTGGGTGGGGGCGCGGGGGGGCAGCCGGCCCCTCGCTGGCCCTGGACAGAGGCCTCAGTGTGAGCCGCCCAAGGCCCTTCGCAGGCCCAGACCCATGACTGGCCGTCTGAGAATGCTGCCCATTATCCACCACACAGAGCACAAAGGGGCCACGCAGGGCCCCCCCGCAGGCCAGGCACCCGCGCCCGCGCCCAGCGCACGCAGGCCCTCACGTCCCCTGACGGCAGCCGAGGTCAAGGACATGCCCCAAGTCGGGGGAGGGCATGGCGCTCGGGCAGGAATGAGAACCATTTCCTCCGGCCCCCGCGGGGACAAAGAGGAGATCGGGCAGCGGGCGGCTCCTCCAGAGCCTGGCCCAGGGTGGAAATGGCCGGGGCTGTGTCCACAGGGGGTGAGAGGCCAGTGTGCTCCCGGCAGCAGCGGCTGTCCCTCACACATCAGTGACATGGCCCGGGCTGTGCCTCCAGTGGCTCTTCTGTCTCTCCTGGCCCATGCCAGCGGGCACGCTGCAGTGGCTGCATATCTAGCATCGGGGAGCAAGGAGCGCAAGGATATGGGCAGGGTTCACGTGGAGCCATCTTTGTGCTGTGTGTCCTAGGACATGCCTCTAGGCCTCTCTGAGCACTCAAGCTCATCCAAGCCACTCCTGGCCATCTGACTCGGGGCCCCAGGGGCGCGTCTCAGGGGCAGCTGCTCTGAGGATGGCAGTCACAATCAGGGTCTGAGGACTCCGGGAGCCACAGTGACCTGTCCAAGGGACCAGGCGGCTCCTCTCCGGGTTCCAGGCAGAGGGGTCTGGGTCTTAGAGCAGACAAGCCAGAAGACCCCCAGTGGGATCTATGTCTGCTTCCTCCCCCCTTTCCACAGGGCGGCCTCAGACGCCATGCCGCCCAGCTCACCAGGTGACTCGGGGCAGAGCTGGGCCTGGAGTGGGGGGTCTCAGCCCCAAGTCAGAAGGCAGAGGGATACAAGCGGCCAAGAGCCGGGTTGGAAGGGGGGGGTGCGCTGTGGAGCAGCTGGCAAGCCGTGGGACCTCTCTGATCCTGGGTCCCTGTCTGTGACACAAGGCTTACAGTTCCAGGAGGGCACGGCAGAGCAGAGCGGGCTGAGATGCCCAGCTATGTCCTTGGTGCCGTGTAGGCCCTGGCTGGCTTCCCGCAGGGCGAAGGCTCTCCGCGAAGCCAAGGGCTCAGGACAGGGGCCCCTCTTCCCAGTGGAGCCCTGGCCCCACTGTTATTTTTTCCAATTGAAGAAAAAAAAACACTTCCTCCTTCCCTCTTCCTCCTCCCCCTCCCCCCCTTCAGCTCTGCCCAGTAGCAGAGGAAGCGCAGAGCAGGCAGGAATGGGGGAGGGGGTGCTCATCCCTATCAGCAGAGGGACTGGGGCTTTTCCCAAGGTTTCCAGAGCTTCAGGCATCTTTGTACCACCTGTGCTATGACCTACTTCGTATTTTTAACTCACTTGTTAAAGACTTCCACAAATGCACTTATGGGGAAGTTTGACATCATTATTTTCATGGAAGCCAGCGCCCAAACTAGAAAGACACGGCAAACATGAAGGCCCAGCTCTTGAGAAAGCTGATGTCATGCTAGCCCTGAGCTCGAGACCTTCTATTAAAAAGGGACAATGACAAATGTTACGACGAAGTCATTAAAGACATGTTAGCCCCAGACCGAGCCTTCTGATCTAATCAGGACCGTGAGCCAGGGCCTGAGTCACAATGAGATTTCTACCCAGCCACAGTCAGTAGGGCTGGGGCATCTGCCCAGACAATTCAGACTTAGCCAGCGCAGGACCAAAGTACCACCCAATCCCCACAGCCCCTCTCAAATCTTTTCTGGGGAGACACCCAGGACATCATAGTGAGGTGGAGACGTAGAAGCCCGTTCCCGCCTTCCTCCAGCCAGCGCTGCCGCAAGGGCTCACCCTGACCCGAGTGTTCCCAGGTCTGGGTTTGAATCCTCACCTTGCTGCCTCATTTTGCCATTCTGTGAAATGGGCACCATAATGCCTGCCTTGTCAGCTGGCTGCAAGAATAGAGCCGGAAGCTGGGTGCCAGTGGCTCATGCCTCTAATCCTAGCTACTCAGGAGGCTGAGATCTGAGGATCGTGGTTCAAAGCCAGCCTGGGCAGGAAAGTCTGTGAGACTCTTCTCCAATTAACCACCAAGAAAATGGAAGTGGCGCTGTGGCTCAAGTGGTAGAGCGCTCGCCTTGAGCTGAAGAGCTGAGAGACAGCGCCCAGACCTAGAGTTCAAGCCCCACAACTGACAATAAACACATACATAAAATAATAATAGTGCTGGGCCCACGCCTCAGCTCTGCATGCCCGCCCGCTGCTGAGACGCGGGGCCCTGACCATGGGTTCCCTGGCCCTCCTCCTCCCGCTCCTCATTTCTCAATCCCACAGCGGAGAGAAAGCCGAGTTGGCCAAGGACCTTGGATTAACCGGCCAAGAATCACAGCCTTCCAGGAGTAAAGGTGTTATTACAGCAAGAAAACAGGCTCAAGGGCAAGTACCTTGTCCAAGGCCATCCAGCACTCTCTACCTCCAGTCTGTCAGAGGACGTTTAGCCTGGTGTCTAATGGCACCCCAAAAGGCTGCGGGTCAGTGGGTTACAGTCACTTAGGAAGCCTGCGTGTCCACAGTGTCCAGAACAATCCATGCTTGCTGGTCTCAGCAGCATTCTCCTCAAGGCTCAGTGGGGGGAGCTGCAGGATGCGGCAAGAGGAGCGAGGCAGGAAGGAAGCAAGGAGGGGAGAGCGGGGTGGGGACCGGGAGGAGAGATGGGGACCCAGAGATAGAGTCCGAGTGGACCGGGGAGGGGAGGAGAACCTGAGGCCCGGAGGAGGGGCAAGAGCAGAGGGGACAGAGCTGGGGCTGGAGGCGGAGGCGGCCGGGTGGAGGGGGAGGTGCCCAGGGGCTCTGCCTAGCGCCTTCATGGGGGTACGGCGCGGCCTCCCATCCAGAGGTGGAAGGGGTCCCCTGACTCGGCCTGGGCAGCGGGGTCCTGGCTTTCTAGAGGGGGGCGGCTCCCATATCCTGCCCGGCCATCACGGCCATCAAATCCCTGACGAGACCCAGGCCTGGAGGGGCCACAGGGAGGTGGGCAGCAGCAGGAAGGTGGGGGGGTTCAGGAAGTGGGGTGGCTGTCGGTCCAGCCTTTCCTGCCCGCCCCAACCCCACGGCTGCTGAGCAACCCCTGCCCTTCCTTTCTTTCCCCAACTCACCATGGGGGCCCTAACCTTCCCCCCAGGTGGCAGACGGCGATCTGATAAAGCCCCGTGGTGAGAGGCCACAGCCCCTCCCGCCCGGAGCGCAGCCTCACCCCCGCCGGTCTCCCCGTCTGGCGCCGAGGGTGGGCGCGTGTGGGGGGCACATCCGTGGCCGGCCGTGCCGGGGTGCCGGGCTCTGCGCTCCCCGCCAGCCCGGGCCCCAGGGCCCGCGCTCCTCCGGGGCCTCGGCCGCCCGGCCGCGGTCGGCCCGGGGCTGGCCCGCTCGCCCGAGCCGCGAGGCCTGCAAACTCCGCTCGGGGCCGGGGCTGGGGGTCACCGGGGGCCGGAGGGAGGGCGCGCCGGGGGGACGGGGAGGGAAGGGGCGGCGCGGGGCGGGGCTGCGGGCGCAGCCGGCGTCGGGGAGTGAGGCAGGGGGACGCGGAGCGGCAGCGGCCGCACGCACGCACGCTCGGACGGACGGACGGACGGGCGGGCGGGCGCGCAGAGGAAGGCGAGCGGGCCGGAGACCGGGAGGAGGAAGCGGGGAGAGCGCGGCCGCCGCGGGGCCCGGGGGACGACGTCCGACCGCGGGCGCGGGCCGGCGGGGGCGTGGCCTCGGGAGGGCGTGGCCTCCGGGAGGCGTGGCCGCCGCGGCGCCGCCCCCGCCCCGCCCCCGGGCTGCGCCGTGCGGCTGAGCCGGGCCGGGGCGCCCGGGCCGGGGGCGGCTGGCGCGGGCAGGAAGCGCCTCGCGGCCCGGGCCCGCCCCCCGCCTCTCGCCGCCTCCGGGCTCCCGGCTCCCGGCCGCGCCGCGCCCCATGCACTCGCCGCGCCGCGCAGCCCGCGCTCGCCGGCATGGCTCGTCGCGCCGCGGGCGGCGCAGCGCTTAGCGCCCGGGCCTCCGCGCCCGCGCCGCCGCCGCCCTCCGCGGGCCCGAGGGGCGCCCCGCCGCGCCCGCCGCCGCGCCCGCCGCTGCCGCTGCTGCTGCTGCTGCTGCCGCCGCTGCTGCTGCCGCCCGGCGCGGCGCGGGCCGGCGCCCTGGAGATCCAGCGCCGCTTCTCCTCGCCCACGCCCACCAACAACTTCGTCCTGGACGGCGCGGCCGGCACCGTGTACCTGGCGGCCGTCAACCGCCTGTACCAGCTGTCGGGCGCCAACCTGAGCCTGGAGGCCGAGGCGGCCGTGGGCCCGGTGGCCGACAACCCGCTGTGCCACGCCCCGCAGCTCCCGCAGTCGTCGTGCGGGCACCCGCGGCGCCTGACCGACAACTACAACAAGATCCTGCAGCTGGACGCGGGGCAGGGCCTGGTGGTGGCGTGCGGCACCATCTTCCAGGGCTTCTGCCAGCTGCGGCGCCGGGGCAACATCTCGGCGCTGGCCGTGCACTTCCCGCCCGCCGCGCCGCCCGCCGCGCCCGTCAGCGTCTTCCCCAGCATGCTCAACGTGGCCGCCAACCACCCCAACGCGTCCACCGTGGGGCTGCTGCTGCCGCCCGCCGCCGGCGCCGCGGGCAGCCGCCTGCTGGTGGGCGCCACGTTCACGGGCTTCGGCAGCGCCTTCTTCCCGCGCAACCACAGCCTGGAGGACCACCGCTTCGAGAACACGCCCGAGATCTCCATCCGCTCGCTGGACGCCGCCGGCGACCCGGCCAAGCTCTTCACCTACGACCTCAACCCGTCCGACGACAACATCTTCAAGATCAAGCAGGGCGCCAAGGAGCAGCACAAGCTGGGCTTCGTGCGCGCCTTCCTGCACCCGCCCGCCGCCGCGCCGCCCTACGCCTACCTGGCGCTCAACAGCGAGGCGCGCGCGGGCGACAAGGACGGCCAGGCCCGCAGCCTGCTGGCCCGCATCTGCCTGCCCCGCGCCGCCGACGGCGACCCCGAGAAGCTCACTGAGTCCTACGTGCAGCTGGGCCTGCAGTGCGCGGGCGGCGCGGGCCGCACCGACCTCTACAGCCGCCTGGTCTCCGTCTTCCCCGAGCGCGAGCTGCTCTTCGCCGTCTTCGAGCGCAGCCCGAGCGGCCCCGCGCCCCGCGCCGCCGCCGCCGCCGCCCCGGCCGCGCTCTGCGCCTTCCGCTTCGCCGACGTGCACGCCGCCATCCGCGCCGCGCGCACCTCCTGCTTCGTGGCGCCCGCGCCCGACGTGGTGGCCGTGCTGGACAGCGTGGTGCAGGGCAGCGGCCCGACCTGCGAGCCCAAGCCCAACATCCAGGTACGGCGCGGGGCGCGCGGGGCGGGCAGCCGGCGCCCACCGGCCGCCCCGTGTGCGCGCCCGGGACCCGCCTCGAGGACCCCGGCCCGTGGGGCGGGACGCGGGTGTCCACCGTGGGGAGGGGTCCCCGGGGCGCCTGCCCACGCCCCCCAGGAGGGGCGGGGCTGCCCGGTGCTTCCCAAAGAGATCCCATGACACAGCCCGGTGTGCAGGGGGAGGTGGGGAGGGGGAGGGGCACAGGTGAGTGCCGGGCTCAGAGCAAGCGTGGGCCCACCCACGGTGTGTGCTCAGCCCCCGGAGCCTCCTGGTTACCATTGCATGCCGGCAGGTGTGTGTGCACTGGTGGGGCAGGCTGTCCGAATCACAGGAGTGCACCAGGGCCATTGGTGACATCCTCTGAGTACGCCACACCGGGGGTGCCGCTGGGCGGGCCTCGTGTTTGGCAAGTGACCCTGGTACTGGGGGACCAGTGGGCTTCTCCAGCGGTCAAGTGGTTGGCAAGCCAGTCCAAGGCCAACTTTCTTCACTCAGCAAATCCTGAGCACTTAGCAGTGTAGTTAGCACCAACGTGCGAGTACCTGCCGTGTGTGCCCTCTTACACTCACGCCCATGGAACAGATAACCAGACGTGGAGAGGTTAATACACTTGCTCAGGCCACACAGCTGGGACCTGGCGGAGGTGGGAGTTGAAGGCAGACTGGCTTCTGTACCTGTGTGATACTGTGTGAGGCCTTGCTGTCTTCTGGACAGCTCTGTGTGTTGGGAGCTCTGGCGGGTCCAGGCAGCCAGGGTGGGCAGAGGCCGGGCCTGGGGTGGGGGGTGTCTGGGGAGGGGATGATGTGGTGGCGTGGGCCTGGGGTGGGGGGTGTCTGGGGAGGGGATGATGTGGTGGCGTGGGCCTGGGGTGGGGGGGTGTCTGGGGAGGGGATGATGTGGTGGCGTTGGGGGTGTGCACCGGTTGCTGATGTCTTGAGGCTGGGGGGGGGCGGGGGTCGGTGCCCAGCTCTGTGTGGGTCTTGAGGGAGAGAGGGGCTTGTGCGCCACAAGAGGTCACTACTCCCAGCAGCCTTGAGTCACGAGGCCCCAAAATGACTCCCGGCATTGCAAAATGCTGAGCCCAGCCTTGTGGTAACGGCCGAGTCCCCTGGGCCCGGCCTCCGTCCCTCTTCGGAGGCCTCTCCTGGAGGCCTGGCATGCCTTCTTCCCAGAGGGCTGCCGTCTGCGGTGCGCTCCCGTCAGCCGCCATCTGTCTCAGCCCCTGATGTGAAAGGCCACGGCGGGTGAGGGGCAGCGGGGGTCCCAGCTCCACCCCGGGGCCGGCCCGCTCCGCAGTGGCCGCTCGCCCCACGTGGCGGTGTGGCCCTGGGGCTGGAAGAAAGGCCAAGAGGCCTTGTGGGCCGGGGCTGAGTGGAGGCCGGAGGGAGGGCAGTGAACGGCCGTGCTGGCCCCTTGCTGAGTTGGTTTGTGGGGGTCCGGCTGCTCTTGACTCCCCCTCTGACAAGGACTGCCTGGTTCCCACGGCCTACCCCCCACGGGGCAGTGACTCACCCTGCTGGGGGGGGTGTCCAGGAGGGGCCGGGCCTCTTCAGAGATAACTGCCCCAGGGGCAGGGTGGCCTGGGACAGGGGCGCCTGGCTGAGGCCCTTGCAGGTGGCCTCGGGCAGGCAGCGTGAGCACCGGCCAGCACTGCCCTGGGTACGCCTGGGGGGCAGGGGTGCTTCTGCTGCTTTGATAGTGCACGCGAGTTGCCAGCGCTCTGTCACTTGTCCTCGGTGGGCACTGGAGCCTCTCTGAGCCTCTCTGATCTCTGCGAAGGGAGGCCGCTGCCTCGGGACGGGGTGAGGGAATTGGTGTGTGTGGGATCGGATGAGCCTGTCGCCGGGAAGCGTGGTTGGCCTGGCTCTGGGCTTGGTACTGGACGGTGGCCAGTGCCCTCACTTGGCTTGCTCTGCAGCAGTGTGGCCCCGCCCTGACCCCCCTGCAGCCCCCCCATGCCCCTGTGCCTCAGGTTCCTGCGACTCTGGCTGGTACAGTGACCCGAAGCCCGGCCCGTGGCCCGCAGGGTCATGAGAGGTGCCGCGAAGGGGCTGGGGAAGCCGCGGAGGAGCAGGAGGAAGCTGGGGAAGTTGAGGACCAGGGGGCAGCATCCCGTGCAGCGGGGGCACCGGGCAGAGGCCTGCAGAGAGAAGCTGGAGGACCCACGGGGGGGGCAGCATGCTGGGGGGAGTGGGTCAGCACAGCCTCCCAGCCGTGGGGAGGCGCGGAGGAGTCTGTGGGAGCACTGTGATCCGTCCAGCGTGGGCAGCAAGGAGACCTCCTGGGAACGGGAGGGGGCAGCACACCTGTGGCGCGCTGCAGACTCCTGTGCCAGTGGCTGGGGCGGCTGGAGATCCTTTTAGAAGGCACGTGGGAGGGAGGCTGGGGAGGAGGAGGGACGGCGGTGGCAGAGCCCCTCTTCCTTCTCTTCGTTCGCAAAGATCTCTTGAGCTTGCTTTGTGCTCAGCCAGACGGGGGATGTGGCTATGGAGACGGCCTGTGGCGGGCTGGTCTGAGCTGGGGTGGAGGTCTGGAGGGACACGAGGGCCACCGAGACCCAGAGGACAGGATGGGGGGAGAGGAGAGAGGCTGGCGCCTCTAGGGGACGGGGTGGGTGTGTCTGGGAGTTCGTGGGATGGCCGTGGAGCAGGACCCGTCTCTCCGTGTGGTCCTGTGAGTGAGGTGTCGCTGCCAGGCCCCTGGAAACGGCACCTGCGGCTCCTGCCTCTGCCCCGCGGGGGTCTCCAGAGCTGCCCCTGCTGCGGAGCCTCCCGTGGGCTGGCCCCCGAGGGTCCGGCTTCACACCCCGGTAGGCAGGAAATGATTGCGTGCCGCTGTGCTGCCGGGGTGGGGGTACCGCCCAGAGCATCAGAGCCAGAGGTGCTGGGAGGACCCTAACTTTGCCCCTGGTTATGATAGCACACTTGGCTGGGGCTTGCTGGGATATTTTGGAAGAGAAATCAAGGCAAGAAATTTGCCTTGTGCCCAGACGGGAAGAGAGCAGGTTCAAGGCCAGCCTGGGCTACACAGACTCTGTCTCAGAGAAGGAAAGCAGTTACCCTCCCCTCCGCCCCCCCTCATGGGGCTTGGATCTCTTTCCTCAGATCACAGTCTGTTCGACAGGAGAGCATGCCAATGGGGAAACCGAGGCCGAGGGTCCACCCAGCAAAGTGGGGTCAGCCGAGACTGAGAGCCTCTCCTCCCCGACCCAGCCTTTGAGTGACCATCACCTTCATGTTTAAATCACAAGACACAGGACAGGCGGGTGCCGGGCTGCGCTCTCAAGGTGTCTTTTTATAGTAAAGGTAGAAGAAGCCGGAGGCAGCTTCAGGCTGGCACGCGGTGGGTGGGTGCACGTGCCAGGAAGGTATTTTCTGCATCGGCTGAGGGTGGAGGAGAGCGTTGCCAAGCTGGGCTTTCTGTGCAGCAGGGGCTGGGAGTGAGCGCCTAGAGCCAAGGCGCCGGCAGGGACCCTCGGCAAGATTTAGGGAGGAGGGCCGGCAGAGAGGCAGACAGAGCTCCCGGGCACGTGGGGTGAGGGCGTCAGCGCCCATCCTGAGCCCACTGTGTGACTCAGCGCCAGTCATTTGCCCTCTCTGAGCCCCTTGCTTCCTCATGCTAGACAAGAGCCAGCGCCTTCTCCAAGGACGTGGGTAGATACAAATCTCACAGGGTCCAGGAAATGGCAGGTGCAGGCAGGAGAGAGAGGGGAGCCATCTGAGAATGGTGCTAGGTGTGCCGAACAGATGGGTGCCCAGAGGAGGGAGGTCAGGCGCTGGAGGAGAGATCGAAGCCCACTGTGAAGGGAGCAGGGGTGGGGCGAGGTGGAGGGGTGTGGTAAGGAGAGGGTGATGTCTGAGAGGGAGAGGGAGAGCACGCATTGTGTGTGTGTGTGTGTGTATGTGTGTGTGTGTGTGCGCACGTGTGTGCACTCACTCGCTGGGGATTGAACCCAAGCCTTCAATATGTGCTGGCCACGTGCTCCGCCCTGACTCTGAGAACACCCCTCTACACCAGCGCGCGCCGCTCACCATCTGTCAGGCAGACATCGCTATCACCCCAGTTTAAAGATGGCTCACACCCGTCATCCTAGCTACTCGGGAGGCTGAGATGTGAGGACTCCGGTTCAGAGCCCGTCAGGACAGGAAAGTCTGTGTGTCCGGTGAAAGACCAAAATGCCAGAAAGGGAATTGCGGCCCAAGGGGTAGAGCACCAGTCTTGGGTGAAAAAGCTAAAGGACAGTACACACACTGAGAGAAAACCAGGCTTGGAGAGAAGGGACTCACCCTGGGCCGCACAGCTGTCACTGGGGTTATAGGACGGCACACTGGTGGCTGGCTGTGGAGTCTGGGGGCTTGCAGCCTGCTCCTGCTCCTGCTCCTGCCCCTGCTCCATCGTCAGCCCTGGAGCTGCAGGCCCCCTGGGGCTGGGATGCGGTTATTTGGTGGCTTGTCTGTGACGGTATCTCCCTGGGGGCCTGAGGAGGCCCGGTGCTACAGGATGGCAGATCCTCTGCCGCGGCTGCACAGGTCCAGCCGCAGGGGCAGCAGGGGCTGTGGCTGCCCGAGGGCTGAGCTCCTCTCAGAAGTGTCAAGTCGTACCTGGCTCTGGTGGGTGCTGAGAGGGATAGCAGAGGTGGCATCTGTGGCCACCTGAACAGAAGTTGCTGGGCTTTCTGCCTGCCGGCAGGCCGCAACCCCTAAAAGACACCCCCCCCCCCCGTCCCCTCCCTGGGCCTGCCCTGCCCACGCCCTTCCCTCTGCACCGGGAAGGACATGTGCAATGAGCCCAGAGCTGGTGTGTCTGGGAAGAGGACCCTGATCCCCAGGGAGATGGCCCCTCCAGGTCTAGGCCTCAGTGTCTCGGCCTCCGCTGTAGCAGGTAGCGCTTGCCTGGCTGCTGGCGTTGCGTGAAGGAAGGCTTGTGTCTGTGCCCGCACTGGCCGGGCCACACCGTGGACAGGG